AGCCGATTCGCCGATCCGGATCGCCGATTCGCCGATCCGGATCGGTTTTTGAAAAGCCTGATCCGGGTCACCGATCCGGTTTTTAAACCATTGGTTTAAAATGTTGGGTTGACTTGGAATGTTTCGTTTGACCTGGGGTTGATGGGTGGGCGTTCCACTTCTCGAATGACTTGGAATCACCCGCTTCCGTCGATTTTCAATTTTTTTTTTTTTCTGATTCCATATTGATTTGTTAATTCAGATCGACAAGTCGGTGATGGATTCAAACCACCCTATCCGTTTTTCCAAATAGAGGCTAAAACAGAAAAAATATTGAGTGAGATGGTACACTTTGTAGAGAGCCTAGGCAAACAATCAAATTGGAGTCTAGTATCGGGAAATGTGGTTTCAATATTGGAAATCTTTATGATAGCTTAAAATACATTTTCATTTTTATTGATAAAGTTTAAAATTTAAAAAATAATGTAGGTTGATAGATCTATGAAAACTTCAAAATCTTGAAAATTATCGGTTAAAAAATACGTTACAAAATACCCTATTTTCAAAACGTGAAATCCATTTTTTTCTCATGTCCATGCATCTTGATGTTGAGATGATCAATATGAGGATAATTGGGCATCAAAATTTCTATTGTAATGTTTGAGGCAGGCTCTGATTTGATTGTTTAGAGACTTAGCTCTATATAAACTTTTCTAAAAGAGGATGTGTTTCCTTGTGTAACATAGAGCAGCGCTATTAGGAATTGAATATTATTACGCGGCAACTCACTTTTAAAATGTGAATTGGATATTATTACGCTGCCTAAACACTCTTTAAACATCTGAATTCTACATTGTTTAACAATAGCTTGATGGCATGGATTACAAAATTAAACATTGATAAAATAAAGTTGGGAAAATATCACCGTACACCATATTTTTAAGTTCCAATCTTCAACAGATCCAAGGTTTCAAAACATATCTTGCGGTGTAAGGGACCAATTTTAATCCACTTTTGTAGCTCAAACAGAATTTCAAAAGATATCATTTTTTCTATTTCTTTCTAAATCCCTTTTCTCTCTTCGTGTTTATCCCCAAGCCTTTTTTTTTTATATTAAAAAAATAGATAGTTTTTCAAAAGATATTTTTTCAATATTTAAAAAATAAGAGGTTCTGAGAGAAACACAGAAAAGAGAGAGAAGAGTTAAAAAAAAAAGAGGTTTAGAGTAAACACGAGAAGAGAGAGAAGGGGCTTAGAAAGAAATAAAAAAAAATGATGTGTTTTGAACTTGCCCATAAACAGATCCGTTATGTGGACTTCCCTAGCCAATGTTTTACCATCGAATGGTAGCATCATAGTCGAAATTGGAGAACTCTATTCAAGAGCCAGGGGTTCCAAGTGACCCTCGCTCATGTTGTCCTCTGTTGTGACCTAATTTTTGATCTCTCTTTGTTGTTTATTTTTCTGTTTATCTGTTTTTACTTTCCTTTAGTTTTGCTATTCTATTTTGTACTGTCTTTCCGGTATTTTATTCTCTCAATGAAGATTTTGTTAATGTTTAAAAAAGAAGAAGAAAAAAAAGTAGATCAATATAGTATACAAAATTGTTTCCCATTATAAAAAATTAGCTCTTTTTGTTTTATGCAACCCTTACATGGACATGCATTTGTGTCAAAATTTGACATAGACACTAGCATTTCGAATGCCTCAAAATTGGCCATTCTGATAGTAACACATCTGTAAATAATTTAAAGAAGCGGGAAGATTAAGATTTTAGATGATATTAACTACATAATGACACTTGAAAAAAAAGTATCTAAATATTATGAAGTACCACACAATGGTCGTGATTTTAGCATGTTGATATGCCAGGAAAATTATGAACACGTAACGCGTTTCTCAGTAGTTGGTTATTTCATGAATTTTTTTTTTCGCTCCAAATGTTTAACGAAATTTCACGGGGACAATGTAAAGTACACAGCAAGTGGGGGACAAAGGCCCCAAGAGAGCGGAAAGGAAATGAAAGAAGATCCAGAAATACATTTCAGTAGAGGCTTCCGTTAGGGTATCAGCATCATAATTTCTCTCTTACGGCATAAATTAAAGAGTTATTTACCTACGGACTTTAAATAAGTTAGTAAAATAAGAGTCGCTCTTTTTATACTCGAAAGTTACAATTAAGGTCGGTCAATACGTCGATTTTTTTTTGATAAATTACCCCTCAATCCAATCGTTTTTTTTTTTGAAGCGATTCTCTTCAAAACTTAACTTTCTGTCCGAGATGCCATCTTGGGATTGCTTTTAAGTTTCTTTTAAAACAAAAAAACTGTATCTCCGGACCACTTTTTTTTTCAAAATTTAAGTTTTGGTCCGAGAATTGCAACCTCGGACCGCAACTTAGGTTTTGAAAAAGAGAAAAGTCCGAGAATTTCATCTTTGGACTTCAACTTAAGTTTTGAAAAAAAAAAGAAGAAGAGGGTTCGAGAATGACATCCTCGGACCGAAAGGTAATTTCGTAAAAAAAAAAGTCGTGTTGATCGACCTTTGATGTAATATTCGCATATAAAGAGAGTATACCATATTTTCCCTACTTATATAGGGTCCGTGCGTAATTAACTCCAATTTAAATAAGGAAAATTTTTATATAAGGTTGCCACCTTAAAATGTAGAATCACATATGCACCTAAAAAATCCATCGAAAAAGGTTTTTTATAATGTTTTCCAAAATTGATCATCTTGACATCAAGATATGTTAATATAAAAATAAAAATAAAAATTATTGAACTTCAAAAATAATACATCTTGCAACACATTATCTAGACCATCCATTTTCAAGATTTTCATATATATATAGGTCTACTTGATTTCAACTATTTTTAAAGTTTAAAATTTTATAATTAGTTATTAAAATAGATTATTAGATAATCCTAAAAAAAATTTACACCAAAATTACTTGTTACGATAAAATTTGGAGTCGAGTTAAATTTTGTGGTGCGCTCTAATTTGATTGTTTAGAGCATCGACTCTAGATAAATTTTTTCCTGTTTTTATTTTATATATCTTATTTTTTAAAAGGGTTATGTTAGAGAACTCATAATATGAATATTTTTTTAATGTACTGAATATTTTTGGATACTCATTGCCCCTTGTTTTATAATACAATTGTTTTGAACATAGGCATTTTCGTCTTTAAGAGGGGTAAGATAGATATTTATGTAAAAAACTAGTGACTTTTTATTAGTACTTATTGTTTTATATAAGTGATGTCATACCTCATGTGCATGATGTCATCTTCCACTATAATTCATAAATGTTTCTCTTTCTATTAAAACATAATTTAC